TAAAAATAGACATGGTGTTGCAATTTATGATACGCACGTACTTTCTCTTAACAGCAGAATGCGACGGACGCGTTTAAATGTACATTTTTGTATTGTACTTTTTATTTTAAGAAAACCTTTTCTAAATTATTTCTGCATCTTATTTTCGATGAATGACCTTAAGCAGTCTTGTATCTATATATAATCATAAAACAATCGAGAAGGCACTGTAAGGCTGGCCACATACATAAGGAATTCCGTTTTGGAATTTCGATTCGGGATTCCGAACGTACGGTAGTTTTCCATTCAAAATTTTCTGAATGTGTGTGGTCGACCCGTTCGGAATTCTGAAACTGAATCCCGAAACGGAATTCCGTATGTACATACATACGGCCTAAAAGGACAAATAAGATTTCACAAGTCGTTTAATATTGATGGTACAGTAAAATTGCAAGCAACCTTGTCCAAAAATATTATAGACAAAAATCAGGGCTGCTACTATAACACTCCATATTTTATGGCTGTCTGGTAAGTTTTTATTAAAAGAAACGGCGACAGCGACTAGCGAAATATTAAGAGAACTTTACATGCGCTCGTTGTAAATTTCACAGTACGAGAACAACCCGGGGTCGATGCCCGATGGCACCAATGAAATTGTAATTACAATTTTAAGTGCCGATTTACCACGTGCTCGGCGGTGCAGTAAAATATCGCGAGGAAACCTCCACGCCTGAGTAATAAGAAAAAATATTTCGAAGATGTGAAGTTCGACAACACGCATTAGGGCAGCGCGTCGAACATTTCCTTGCTCTAAAACCCTCTCAGAAATGAGAGGAGGCCTGTGCCCAGCAGTGGGACGTGCATAGCATGTAACTTTAACTTTTATACATGCAATGCATAATATGCGAACGATGGTTGTTTCTTTAGTGGCCTTCATACAGAGAAACTATAGCAGCTGCTGCACTCTGATGTTTTTTAGTAATTGTAATCTATTAAGTTTCTTTAGCGGGACTTGGCATGAAAACGAATTTATTTTCAGATGCACAAATTTTTTAAGATGTTCTCCGTGGTTTCTAAAAGTGTTTGTTAGAAATGCTAAGATAAAAGTATTTTAGTTCAGAGGCTAAACGCTTGCTGTAAATTTCAGAGTGCACGTGAAACTCAATTTTTAGCAATGTTAGGTGTTGATTTACCTCGTGTGAAAAACATCGTGAGGAACCAGCATGTGTAAAGCATATAATCTTTTAAAGACATGCGAAGTCCATCAATTCGCAACGCTACGAACTAATTCGTCGTTGACGCCGCAAAGGGACGAACCTGAATTTTTCAAAAAATTACAGGAGAGCAAGAAAACCTTTAATTATGTTTACAACATTGGTAAATTCGTTGTTGTACTTTTAGGAATATTAATCTGTAATCTCTAACATACTCGTATCAATAGAGATAACATGTAAACTACACAATAAAAAGTTATGCGATGTTGAATACACTCATTTTGGAAAACCAGGAAACCATTCTCCTCCTCAGGGGTTAAATTTTTCAAAATCCTTTCTTAGTCGGTATCTACGTCGGGAAAGGAGTATATGATATGCCAAATTTCAAGTCCATCGGGCGTATTGTTTTAGAGATTTCGTGATAAGTGAGTGATTCAGTAGGTTTCCACTTATATATACAATATATAGATTATAATTTTGACTAATTATTTTGCAGACACGCTACTTGCGATGTAACTGTAATTGTTGGCTATCCAAAGGAAATTATAGAAGGCGAGGGCGTTGACTCACAGACAGACAAGCTATACAAATGTATGTTTGTGCGGGTCAACAGTCAATCGCACACGCCCACGTCGGCCAGAGTTCAGGCGAATGATTAATTGGCAAAAGATTATCACGCTGACCCAATGCATAACGGACTTATGTTGAATGCAATGAGAAATTAAAATTATATTTTAATATTTAAGGTCTTAAATAGTTATGGTTAAATAGGGGTCACGAAAGGAGTGAGGGTCTTTTTATAATAGTTTGCAAAAGAGCTCCCGTTGCTGTGTTAAAGTTTGGGGATTTTCCCGTCTAAAAAAAGAGATTTGAGCCATAGGTACAATACATATTACGAGGGTGGATTGAAAAGTACTCGGCCTAACACAGATCCATTCAATTCTAAAAATCAAATCTACCCACATTATTTAGTTCAGTTCAGACTAGTTCATTGTGTGAAGTTCGAAACGTGTGCGATAATTAGTTGTGATTTTATAAATTTATTAACAAAGTAATCGGACATAATTTCCGCGAATGGAGCAAATCGAGCAGCGTGCCGTCATTAAGTACCTCCATAAGAAGGGGCTATCATCAAAAGCCATCCATGATGACATGGTCAGTACATTAGGCGATTGTGCTCTGTCATATTCATCCGTCAAAAAATGGATAGCAGAATTTAAGCGTGGTAGAGAGAGTGTGAAAGATGAACCCCGCTCTGGAAGGCCTTCGACGTCAACTACTGACGAAAATATTAAAAAAGTACTTGATTTAATAATGGGAGACCGCAGATTAAAATTAGAGAGATAGCCGAGATTATAGGCATCTCTTATGAACGAACTCAAAACATCATTGTCAACGAGTTGGGTTTTCACAAGGTGTCTGCGAGGTGGGTTCCGCGACTGCTTTCAGTTGAACAAAAAACGACGCGATTGACTATTTCACGCGACTGTTTGGAGTTATTTGAAGCCGATGCAGATGATTTTTTGAATCGTTTTGTTACTATGGACGAAACATGGGTTCATTACTGTACACCGGAAACAAAACAACAATCAAAACAGTGGAGAAGACCTGGTTCACCACCCCCTAAAAAGGCTAAGTCGATTTTGTCGGCAAATAAGGTGATGGCTTCAGTATTCTGGGACTCGAAAGGTGTGATTATGATTGATTATCTTGAAAGGGGTCAGAATATAAACTCTGATTACTACTGCACCTTACTACGTCGTTTACGAGAGGAAATAAAAGAAAAACGTCGAGGAATGCCCAGAAGAAAAGTCCTGTTTCATCAAGATAACGCCCGTGTTCACACGTCAGTACAGTCAATGGCTGAAATTCACAACTGTGGCTTTGAACTGTTACCGCATCCGCCGTATTCACCTGATCTGGCACCATCAGACTTCTTTCTGTTCCCTAACCTAAAAAAGCACTTGGGAGGTCAAAGATTTTCGACAAACGAGGTCAAAGCAGCTGTAGACACATATTTTGACTCTAAGGAAGAATCATTTTTTTTCAACGGTCTAAATGCTTGGAAGGGGAGGTGGCAAAAGTGTATTGAACTTGATTGTGATTATGTAGAAAAATAAAAATATAACTGATTTAGTATTTGTTTATATTCTTGGTTAGGCCGAGTACTTTTCAATCCACCCTCGTATTATTTCACTTATCTTTTATTCAACAACGTGAAATATATATATTTCACGTTGTTGCGGAGTGATTGATATTGGCAAACGATTTTCCATCGAAGTTACGCAATTGCACTGCGTGTTCATAGGGGCTACTTTGATGTTTTTATGATTCTATAACTTATGATTAATTTCTCTATCTTAATATGTCAAACCTGCAATGATATTCGAAAATGAATTTTTATAAATAAATAAAATAATAGATAAATGGGCAAATTAATTTAATTGTTAACACAAAAAAAAATGTAACTATTTACTTCTAAGTTGAAAAAACAAACAATCTGAAAAATCAGTTGTGTTTGTAAAATAAGTGCATTTTGCAAGCGCGGTGAAGTATATGCGCCGATTGCAATTTTAATAATCGATAATGGCAAATCGCAATGATTTCCGCCGAAAGATATCACTTGTATGAACGTCACGTATTATTTTGTTTACGAATTTGTGTAGATATGGATTCCTAACTGCCCTTATTTTATCTTATCCGATTAATTAATCGATACTTTCTATTAAAAATTCATATTTCATTTGTCTCTTTTATTAAGTCAGTCAATACGTACATGACCATGAAAGTTTTAAATAAAACACTGATGGAAAGATATATATTTTATTTTTGTCTATGTTTCACTGAGAGAAACTCTTCTTTCTTCTTTAGTCTTTAGGGTAGTTACTCTTCCACAGCTTTTTGAACGCATACTTAACAAGAGTTCATGAAGGGAAACATAATACACTTCGTCAGTTTATCAATAATTTATTCTAAAAATAAATTATTTTTATTTTATTGGCTTTGCTTGCTACTATTACCGGTTGTTAAACTTTCATGGTACACGCGAGGAACATGCAAGTTTAAAACCGTTTAAGCTTCATTTCAATTGAAAGTATTTAGAGAGAGATATTTTTGAGTTATTTTTATTTAGTTAAGGGGTGTAGACATTCCAGACTTTTATAGGCTTTATATTTTGTAAACGGAGCTAATTTACTAAACGTAAGTTATCGAACCTTTTAACTAAAGACATTCCTCACATTGCATTGAAAATAAATATTTTACTAAGTCAACGCAGGAAACTGCGACATAGTAGTGCCATGGTCGATTCGACTAACTGCAAATTTACTTTTATATTGCGCCACTGTACAATTATTCTTATTGTATACCTCAGGGTATTAAATCGCTAGTTGATTTCCGAACATTCCTTGTACCCTTATTGTCATTGATTGTCTAGCGACATAACAACTACTACTTTATTTATTTATTTATTCATTTATTCTTTATTGCATTCCTTAATCTAAAAGAATACAAAGGGCGGACTTAATGCCTTGCGGCATTCTCTACCAGTCAACCCATGAAGTGGTGAGAATTTGAAGTAGGTGTAGCAATATAGAATAAAAACAAAATAGAAATTTATAATTAATTACGAGGGTGGATTGAAAAGTACTCGGCCTAACACAGATCCATTCAATTCTAAAAATCAAATCTACCCACATTATTTAGTTCAGTTCAGACTAGTTCATTGTGTGAAGTTCGAAACGTGTGCGATAATTATTTGTGATTTTATAAATTTATTAACAAAGTAATCGGACATAATTTCCGCGAATGGAGCAAATCGAGCAGCGTGCCGTCATTAAGTACCTCCATAAGAAGGGGCTATCATCAAAAGCCATCCATGATGACATGGTCAGTACATTAGGCGATTGTGCACTGTCATATTCATCCGTCAAAAAATGGATAGCAGAATTTAAGCGTGGTAGAGAGAGTGTGAAAGATGAACCCCGCTCTGGAAGGCCTTCGACGTCAACTACTGACGAAAATATTAAAAAAGTACTTGATTTAATAATGGGAGACCGCAGATTAAAAATTAGAGAGATAGCCGAGATTATAGGCATCTCTTATGAAAGAACTCAAAACATCATTGTCAACGAGCTGGGTTTCCACAAGGTGTCTGCGAGGTGGGTTCCGCGACTGCTTTCAGTTGAACAAAAAAGGACGCGATTGACTATTTCACGCGACTGTTTGGAGTTATTTGAAGCCGATGCAGATGATTTTTTGAATCGTTTTGTTAGTATGGACGAAATGAAACATTGGTTCATTACTGTACACCGGAAACAAAACAACAATCAAAACAGTGGAGAAGACCTGGTTCACCACCCCCTAAAAAGGCTAAGTCGATTTTGTCTGCAAATAAGGTGATGGCTTCAGTATTCTGGGACTCGAAAGGTGTGATTATGATTGATTATCTTGAAAGGGGTCAGAATATAAACTCTGATTACTATTGCACCTTACTACGTCTTTTACGAGAGGAAATAAAAGAAAAACGTCGAGGAATGCTCAGAAGAAAAGTCCTGTTTCATCAAGATAACGCCCGTGTTCACACGTCAGTACAGTCAATGGCTGAAATTCACAACTGTGGCTTTGAACTGTTACCGCATCCGCCGTATTCACCTGATCTGGCACCATCAGACTTCTTTCTGTTCCCTAACCTAAAAAAGCACTTGGGAGGTCAAAGATTTTCGACAAACGACGAGGTCAAAGCAGCTGTAGACGCATATTTTGACTCTAAGGAAGAATCATTTTTTTTCAACGGTCTAAATGCTTGGAAGGGGAGGTGGCAAAAGTGTATTGAACTTGATGGTGATTATGTAGAAAAATAAAAATATAACTGATTTAGTATTTGTTTATTTTCTTGGTTAGGCCGAGTACTTTTCAATCCACCCTCGTACGTTATATATACATTTTACTAATATATACAATAAATAAACTATAAAAATATATCCTATTTATACATGTATACAAATATATACGTACATACATAAGCATACATATATTCATACCAACATACATATACAAATAATACATATAAATAACTATAAATATTTACGTCTAAAATATAAATGACATGGATGATTCATCTAAGAAGCGTTGTCTTTAACAGATTATTACGCACCAACTTTTACTTCAACCGTAACAACAAGCCGGTTTCCGAAAGGGCTTTAGCACTATAGACCACATACATACCCTTCGGCAAATTGTACAGAAGTCCGAAGAGTACAATTTGCCACTATGTCTGGCGTATGTGGACTATGAGAAAGCCTTTGATTCCGTCGAAATTTGGGCGGTGCTGCAGTCCCTTCAGCGGTGCCAAGTTGACTGTCGGTATATCGAAGTGTTGAAGTGCTTGTACAGTAGGGCTACGATGGCTATCCGAGTACAGAACCAGAGTACGAAACCTATCCAATTGCAGAGAGGTGTAAGACAGGGTGACGTCATATCCCCGAAACTTTTCACCGCTGCATTGGAAGACGTTTTCAAGCTTCTGGACTGGAAAGGATACGGTATCAACATCAATGGCGAGTACATCACTCACCTTCGATTTGCCGACGATATAGTCCTTATGGCAGAATCGCTGGAGGACCTAAGCACTATGCTCAATGACCTCGATAGTGTTTCCCAACGGATAGGTCTTAAGATGAACATGGACAAAACAAAGATCATGTTCAATGTCCATGTCACACCTATGCCGGTAGTTGTTGGGAACACTAAGCTCGAAGTTGTTGACGAGTATGTTTACCTGGGACAAATAGTCCGACTAGGTAAGTCCAACTTCGACCGAGAGGTCAATCGACGGATTCAACTCGGCTGGGCAGCGTTCGGGAAGCTACGACACATCTTCTCGTCAGACATACCTCAAAACCTGAAAACGAAATTGTACAACCAGTGCGTGTTGCCAGTGATGACTTATGGAACTGAGACGTGGTCCTTCACTGCTGGCCGTATGAGGAAGTTCAAGGTCGCTCAGCGAGCTATGGAGAGGGCTATGCTCGGAGTTTCTCTGCGTGATAAACTTAGGAATGAGGATATCCGCAGCAGAACCAGAGTAACCGACATAGCCCAACGGATTAGTAAGCTGAAGTGGCAATGGGCCGGCCATATAGCTCGAAGAACCGACAACCGATGGGGAAGAAAGGTTCTCGAGTGGCAGCCTCGTACCGGTAGGCGAAGTGTAGGGCGTCCCCCCACGAGATGGAGTGACGACCTGGTAAGACATGCAGGAAGTCGATGGATGCAGGTGGCTCAGGACCGTGCTTTGTGGCATTCTTTGGGGGAGGCCTATGTTCAGCAGTGGACTTGTGAAGGGCTGTAATGATGATAATGAATGATGATGAACTTTTACTTAATTTAGTAATTTTCAATCGAAAACTGGTTCAAAATTGCTAATGATAGAATTGTAAATCTAGTCTATGTAAAGTCACTTTGTATTGATCGAAAAATGGCAATATTTTCATACCAATTTTTTTTTACTGGATTCGCAGAATAACCAAGGTAAATACAAGCGCTTTCTATTGTACTTGATTTTGACTTGATCATACTCGCTTTATACGTTTTAATATATGCTTATTAATAACTTATGTGTTTCTTAATTTTCTTCTTCATTGGCACCCGCGAACATTTTAAGTAATGGACATGAGCCTCTCACATAAGGGGGAGGATTTGTTACTTTATGCCGGAATGACAATCACAGTACCTCTGATATAAATAAAATTGAGAATACTGTATGGTATAGCATTTTAAAGGGAACATGATTAACCAATACGTGTCACAATAACATAACATAAACTCTCGTCTGTAACGCCTAATTCTAGTAACTCTGTCATAGCAATGAGGATTTCCCGTAAACGCCAAACATGTGGGGTTGATTAGCCATCGCAGTACCAAAGCCACGTTGCATTTGGCGATGCTCCAACGTTGTGCTCCAACTCCTCTCGATAAGATATAGCTTTACTTTGTAGCAAGACGTTTATTTTGTTTATAATATAGGAGTGACTAGCAAATTGAAAGTTCACCTGACGTTAAGTGGATGCTGCAACACTTGATGACTAGATGGAATTGAGCTTACTTTGAAATCATACAAGGGTGTTCTTCCTAAACAATTATCACGAATAAATTTTAAACATTGACACAAATTGCTATCAGTTCGATAGTTCAATAATGTAATGTAAACATTTAATTTGCTACATAGTTTTTTAATTGTCTTCATCTTATCTTGATTATGTACTATGTAATCTACGTATTATTATTGAGAATTTTATTCATTCATACAGAACTAAAAGACAATCATGAAATATGAAATGTGTAAGATAGATCCAAAAACTTCTCCAAATGGCAGCTAGAACTAGAGAGCGAGCTGTCACACTTTCTCAAAGAAAAGAAAGACAGAAAGACAAATTTCCGGCCGACCGGCTGGTTATCTGAAAATCCATCCAAAAAGACTTCGATAACGATATGTCATATTTGTGGCAGCAAGTACTATGCTTATTTAACAGTATACTACTTATATATCTTGGACTTATGCATTTATGACGTTAGTTGGTATGTTACGTGAGCCATGTTAGTAGTATAGTTGTACCACTTATGGGTTATGGGTCGGCTCGACCGGAGAGGGCCCACGCTCTCACAGAATACCACGTAAAATAGCAGCTTAACATTGCTGTGTTTCGTATGGTGAGCGTAGAGAATCGGATACCCTTTTTACTGGAAAAAAGGCATTCCATCTTAGTCCTCGCGGCTGACAACGCATCTACCTTTTGATTATGTCTATGGGTCACAGCAACCACTTACCATCAGGTGAACTGTGTGCTCGCTTGTCTCCCTATTATATAACAAAAAAAAAGCAAGCGCTGAATAATGTGAATTACTACCTCCACCTCTTCGAATCTATAATGTACTTTCTGTTCATATCTATACATATTATCGTCGGTACATCTGTTTGTGATTTTTTTTAAACTGGCTTTACGGCTCTGGGTTCTAGCCCCTCTGAGCCTGATCTGTTAGTGATCGTGTAACTTCTGAACGACTTGACCGATAGAGGTTAGATTAGATTCACAATTCAATACATATACGAAAGTTCACAGCTATACTAGGATCCAATTGGGGTGCGCTTCAGTCAAGTTATTAGCAAATTCTATATAAAAGGACCATAATGACTTATATTCACAAGCTATGTTGATTTTGTGGCAAAAAAGAAATTCAAAAATAATCAAGACCTGATAATAACTAAAAATGCGAAGTCACGGGCTTTTTCTTGTATAATATACAAGTAGCCAATATACTTTCATATTGTGATGATTGTGATTGAAAGATATATGGATTGGACAAAATAAAAGTTATTGCCCATAAGGCTTTAGGTGGCCACCAAATGTGGGTTAATGATAGCATCAATATTTTTATCCGGCGCAGTTATCACTGCTCGTTTGTAGAAGTGGCCGACGGTAATTCGCTTGACCTTTTACGTTTTGCCTAAATATGGTGTCTAGTTGTTAGTGCCAATTAGTGTCAATGGCGAATTTATTTTTAGATAATTGAAATTTTTTATTTATTTAATTTATTTCAGAGATATAAATCAAAGACAATAGATACAATAAGTTGTTGCATTAAAACTTTTGGGACATGTCTTACCGGTATCGGCGTAGAAATAGCACAATAAATAATTCTTACTTTTTTAAATTATTACAATATCATCATAAAGGTAATATTAACTAACATAATGTCAATAAAATATTATGTTAAATCAAATAATAATAACATAGGTCGGGGAAAAAAGTCGTATTTTGTTTGTATCACGGAATATAAAAAACAAGTTGTTTTTTATATTCCGTGGTTTGTATAAAATTGAAGAAAAATCTATTTGGTTGTACCGCTCAGCTCAGCTGTATCTGGCTGTTTTTAATATCAATACGTATAGGACATTAAGAAAAATAAAAAGTAAAAAAAAACTTTCCCGCCATTTTTCAATTTTCTTCTATCCGCCAAATGAGTTAATCTAACGAAGAATTTCAATGCATTCTGAAGTTTTGTTACAAAAAATGTGACTCAAGCCGAGAAAAAAATTGTGACGTTTATGGACCTAGTGAAGTGTCGTAAGAGTAGCACAAAGTTTGTTCAAGCATTTTCAGTCCGGGAATTTTGATTTCTAAGATGCAGCTGGTTCTGGTCGCCCTAATATGGATAAAGTCGATGCAATTTTTAAAAAAGTGGAACGAGATCGGCATATTAGTACTTACGACATAGCAGACGAATTTAGGATTGACTATAAAAAAGGTCTTGACCCATTTGAAAAAGTCTGGCTATATAAAAAAGCTCGATATTTGGGTACCACGAGCTCACTGAAAGAAACCTAATGAATCGTGTATCGT